TGTCTGGGTTTCCTGCCTCAGAGTTTCGGCGGGTCACAGTTTCGGCGTGTGACACTGTTTCACCGAGTCGCGAAGACGTTAGCGGGCTCTAACGCGGCCGCCAGCCGCGTTTGGGCCGTCTAACGTCAGGCCCGCAGAGGGGCCCGAATGGGCTCGCGTACCGGGGGGAGGTCGCCCGCGGTACGGTGAGCCGGAGGCTGGAGACTCCTTTTCCTTCCCGTCCTGTTTTCCCTCGCTCCCGGTCTCTCTCTCTCCTGCTCCTAGCAGCTCCTTCTCCCTCGTTCACCTTTCCAGCCTCTCGGACCGCTAAACACACGGGAAACGACTAGTAATTATATATAAATATCATATCTTTGTCACTGTTATATTCTCAAGCATATTACCCTTGCTAGAAGTAGTGCTAGTGCTGAAGTACAAATTTCCTAAAGTGGATTCGCTTGTATTCAGATTGACATTGAGGTACTCTCCTTCTAATTCTTTATCTTTGACGACCACTTTGCCTGGAAGAATATCAATACAGATTCCGAAATGAAGCTGTACTATGCCGAGAAAGAGTACACGTCTCTCGATGATGTCCACTAAGTCTGCGGTGCCTCCCAGCATGCGCTCGTAGGTGCTCGGAAGGCTGTGGTACTCTCTTTCCTTCCTAGCTTCCTGCAGTTGTTCATGTTTTCTTGCCGTTGCCGTCCGCGCCTCCTCGCTAGCACTTGTTAGAGCTCACGACAATCTATCTTCTGTCTCACCTCTTTCAATGTATGTTTCTAAGAAAGTACTTCAAAAAGAAAAAAGACCGCAGTCATGACAATGAGCTGAAAGATGGATCAGGTGATCGGTGATTAATTCTTCTACGTACGCACGAGGAGTGCAAGTAGGAATTGAAGCCTTAACGCCCCTTCATCCTTTTCCAGCATACTCGTTTTCGTACCCGTTTCGTCGTTTTTTAGATCTTGGTCCCTAATAAATTGTCCATCTTCATCAAATGCAACATTTGCATTCTGAACAAGGGTTAACATGTTGCAACCAGACTTTTACAAGACGATGCATGAAGATCTTCATGAATCTGATTCTGAGTGAGTCAACTCAACAAATCTGCCTAGCTGCATTAATAAGTCTCTGGAAGAGGATTTTCATCATGATGTAAACAAGACATAAATCTTCGCAGTTGTCATAGGGCGCGCCCCGCAAATCCCTGTTCTGGCGGTTCTTGCAGCCTTTTTCGCGCTGAGAAGCTTTGCTATCGATAACATGATCTAAGTCCGCATTCCATTGGACGTCCATCGCACCGCCTCCCAAAATTAGAACGAATATCTTATTCTTGTTAATGAGAAAACAGTAGATTTCTATTAGCTGATTGAACATAGACAAGCAAAGCAAAAACATGAAGCATTCGTTTGGGGTTCTACGAAAAGAGAAGGCTTTTAGGGTCGTTAATACGGCGATTGCACTAGAGCCTTAACATGACACATCCCACCATGAGGGCCGGACGAGCAAGCTTCGCCAGACACACAGACATCCTTTCCAGGTAGGCAGTGTTCTTTTAGGGAAGACACAGCTCCAACCACAAAGCAATTCTACTTCCTCTTGAAAACAGCAATTGTAAGTACGCGGATGCAATTTTTGTACAGTGGCTGTCGCTCCGTCGCTCCTTGTGTCGCACAAGCCCGCCTCTAGCTGAAAGAAAGTATGCCTCTGACTGAATCACAAGGAGACAACGAAGCAATAATGTGCTCTGGGTTTGGATTTGGAGATATCAGAAAAAGTTTCTTTGTTTTTGTATCCTGGGGCTACTGAAAGAGCGGCCTCAGCTTTATCCAGTTCGTTTCACAAGCCACCAGACGGGGTGAAGTTCGTTTCACAAGCAGCAAACAGGTGGAAGACAACATTGTTATCATTTGAAAGTGCAGAAGACGTTCTGGCTAAAAAAGTCGCTCAGTGCTGGAGGTCACTGTCTTCTTCCTCATGCCTTCCTACCGCAATGTCCGGAGAACACAACGTTCCACGATTACAGCAAGTCTGAATTTGTTCATTCTGCCGCAAAAGGCAATGCGGTTGCTGCCAACACGAAGATGCGTATTCAAATCTTGTGCAACAGGACTGTTCTGCCAACATACGACGAACAGGAGCGCCTGAATTGAGTCTTCAAGCATCAACACTAACATAGTAGAGGCACGACAAAAGCACTGGCTGCAGTAGTACTCGACAAAAATGAGGAATTTCCTGAATTATCGTAGTCTCACTGATAGATTCTCCTAAATAAGAGTCAAATGTCTTACATGATGTAGTGCTGAAAACGTATTCGTATTCTCTGATCACTTATGCTGCACCTTCTGCTGTTTTACTGCCAGGTATAAACATCTTCCACCAGGGGTCTGATGATGCTTTTCCACCCTTAGTTCTGCTAGAATTGCCGCTGAAAATTTTTGGTGCCTCAAGTCTCCTCCGTTCCTCATGGCTGTTGTCCTCCTCGCGGCGTTCCAGCATCAAGAGCACTTCATCTACAACAGACTGCCAACTCTTCGGCAGAAAGTCGATGCAGGCGCGACACTCCTCGTGAAACCAAAGTGTTGTGACTATCCGCTCTACCTCATCCCGTTCGAAGAAGTCTTGTTCCTCGTGGAAATACTCGAGAATTTGGTACAGAGGGTCCCTCCGTCTCTCTGCCGCGTCTTTTTCGCGTTCCGCATCCATGTCGAGCGAAGCTACCTCGGAAGCATCTAAGAAACGGCATTTCGCCATGCCATAGAGAAACAGAATGAGGTCTTTCCTACCCATATCGGGAATTCCGGGAACTTCGAATGTCTCACCTGCAGCAGATGTTGTTGTTGCTCCGGAAGTAGAAGCTGCTGAGGCTGCTGGCGCACTAGTACTAGAGGAAGATGAACTTTCTTCTGTAGTTGCTGAAGATGTAGTAGTAAAGGTAGAAGCACCATTTGTGGTACGCGAAAAAGAATCTTGTTCACCTGACAAGTCACTAGTCGGCGAGGCACTTGTTGACGTTGCACCTGTTGGTGCCTCGACACTGCTCTTCCTATCTAGTAATGCCTCGGCAGCGTCCACAGCATCTACCCTGGTATTTGAAGAAAAAGAAGAAAATGCTGCACTCGTTGCTTCAGCCCCACTACTAGAAGTAGAGGACCTCATTTGCGCAGGTGTGCGAAAGGACGATGCTTCGGACAGAGATTGCGTTGGAACGACTTTCTTTCCCTGTCGGTCCACACGCGGATAAGCTAATGCATTAGCTATTTTCTCCAACAAGCTTAGGTACTCCAGCTCATCGTGGTGCGGGAGGGCTTGGGCTAGTCGGGCAAATTCTTTCGCGGTGAAATTTGGAAGTTCTGCTTCCACAAGCGGGCGCATAGGTGCCATAACGCGCTCTAGTTCGTTGCAGCGCGCATAGACCCACAAAATACGAGCCACCTGCCTTGCTGGCATACCTCGCGTCAGCTCTGGCCGATGAAGTTCCTTGCTAACGACGCTCACGAGCTCTTCATGGATGATTTTCATCTTAGTCACGCACCACAAGTTCGTCAATTTTACCTGGTTCGATCTTACTCTGAATTGTAAATGAGACCTGTCTCTCTCTCCGAAGAGTTAAAATTACGAGTGGCCTCCTATCATGTCAGCATTATCTTCTGTAGTGGTGCCAGTTATGAAACCACTAGTTGTACAAGACATCTATGTATAGATACCTGTAGCGGCACTTCGTCGATACGCCTCATAATTTCGGGGAGCAGGCAACAGAGAACGTCTATATCGTGCACAGCAGTAGAACTTTGTGCCAAAGCGATGAGCATCTCGGAGAGCTCTTGCGGATCGTAGTCTCGAAGAAGCGCCTAAAAGAGTATGCATGAGTCAAAACCAAAAGTAGATCCACAGATATTATAACGAACAAGGTAAAAAGACGAAGTAGAATATTCTTCGATCCCCTTCTCGTTTTTTGCCTGAGAGCATTCACGTACCTCCATCAGAAAGTACCTGCAATCTCGGCACCAGAATCTGCAAAACGTCGTAGTGCTGGATTTTGTTGTAAACCCTTATAATGCCTACGAGATTCAGGGCATTTAGCTCGTCCATTACATCGACAACGCGCTCACCAAACATCTCGAACAGCTCTTCGTCTTCGGGTAAAAGCTCGTGCATCGTTGATATCGTTTCCACTAAGTTCAAACCCGAAAACATTACCATGCGCCACTTCAACTGTTATTCGGAGCGTGAGCGGAAGACCCTGGACTATTTCTAGACAAGAAGAGGGAGACTTCAATCCTCCACCTAAGTAGATCACATAAATACACCTCGTCTAGGGCATTTGGTCTGCTTAAAAGGCGCGACTTGACTGAGACAAACCCTTTCCTTAAATGAATCAAAACCAGAGCGAGCATGATTGTTTTCTTCGCACTCTGCTCTACTTCTAGGAAACTTCCAAGCAGCACATCAAAAACGGACCAGCACAAAGAAAAACCTTACAACGCGGGAAATTTCGCGGATGATGCCTTTGTTTTTGTGTGGCACCATGGTGTAGGCGCGAGCAATCCGATTGATTTCGTCGGGTCCGTACCCCTTGGCTATGCACCGTGTGATCTGATACTCTAGATGCGGGGTTAGAGTGTTCTTCTTGTAGTCAGACACGAGCCGCTTTTTGAGCATAGGCTGTTTTGACCGGTCCTGCGTGTCGGCGTGCACCGATTCGTGCCTTGTTTGCGCGAAATTTTGCCATGACGAAACTTTGTTTCGCGGATGATGGAGAGACCCGCCTTGCTGGAACAGGACGCTTGCCGAGCTGCTAGTCGCACTCCAGCGTGACGACTGCAGAGATCGCGACGTCAGCACAGCAGGACGTGGCATCTTCCCGACAAAATCGACGAACAAGTCGCAGTAGCAGTCTGTTATTGCGCAGGAGACCTTCCGTGTCCTTGTACCCAGTGCCTCCTTTCTCTTCTTTTCCGCTGTCCGCCCACTCGCTTCGGCCTGGTCTTGGCCAACTGAATCGACAAAGTCTCCTCACAACGTCCCGCTCTGAAGCATGCCTCGCGTTGCAACTGTCGTAAACAGGACTCGCTTTTGACTCGTCACGAAGCTTGTATTGCACGTATGTCGGATGCTAAATAAGGTGCGTCACTGCACAGTGCAGGACTAGAATGCGGGGGGACAATGCTTCACATCTTTTCTTCTCTTGTTGAGCAACACAATTATTTCAATTACTTGTCAAACAATCGAAGATGAAATACAAATACATATGAGACAGATGATGATGATGATGATGAAGATGATGATTGTACCTAAGAAGAAAACTACCCGGACAAAAATGGCTTCACTAATGAACGATCAACAATACGGACAAACCAGCTTGCTCTTCGCTAGTCGACTACCAAAACCATCGCTAGTTGCCTAGGGAACAGAAGCTTTGAATTTATTTGAAAACCAAAAGGATAAGAATGCACAAGGAGCAAGACGGCCAAGACTGTGACAGACGCAGGCAGCTGCGGCAAGGACCTCTTGCGAGGCGTAGCATGCTCGCGGGAAGACGAGCTGCGATACTATGCGTTCAGGCTGGGACGCTTGGCGAGCGGAGTCACCGGGGAGGACGTTGGCTGCCCGTTTTGCGCTGGCCTTGCGGCAAGCACGCAGCACCTACTAGAGTGCCCCGCGTTCCAGGCTCTAGTAGAAACTCACGGGATTCCAGCGAATGTTGGAGCGGCTGCGTCGAACCCGAAGCAGCTCACCCCATACCTTCGCGACTCAGCGACCAACTTCGGCGGTGCGGTCTTGCGAGCGCAGCCGCCACACCTCCAGTGAAGACAAGGGGAAACGAGTAGCGGCCGCTGTGGTAAACCCATCGCTGCCCGCTACGATAAGACGGGGGCCGAGATAGGTGGTGGCGAACGAAGAACGAGCAAGGAGGAGACGAAAGTTAGCACGCGAAGACAAAGAGAACGAAGGCAAAACAAGAACGCGAAGAACAGAGGGCTCAGGCCGTAAAAACGTCAACCACGGCCGATCCTGCGTCACCGCCAGGCGCTACCTACGCGCAGTCGCCGCCGCCTGCACACCTCGCCTAGCATGCCGCAAAAGCTCCAGCTGGCGGAGACTATGGCGACCAGACACACCATAGTCGATCGCAATGACGACCATAGCATAACACACACAGAGCACAGAGAAATCTGGCGGGATCGTCCGCGTCGCCCGGAGCGCATCAAAACAAACAAACAAACAAACAAAGGAATGCTCATGGCAAAATGGTCGGTCGCAATCAAGCAGCTTAGAAACCCTATATGTAACAAGTCGTGCATGCTGCTTCTAGAAATCGATCATCACCGATACTGCAAGTCAGAAATGGTTGTATGTATCACTCATTTCGTGTTCTCTCGTGATGGTCTCTCGACTCTTCACAGACAGCGATTTGAAAACTGATTTTTTCTTCTTCTTTACGCGCGTATTTCTGTGATGTCCTCATCCCTTCTGCGCTGCTTATCTTGCACTTTTTACGTCTGTTTAGTATTTCTGCTGTAGATAGTTTCCTCCATTTTCTATCGGGACAGTGAGTTCAACAAAGGAAGCTACAAAGAAGATAAAATAATCATGATCATCGTGTTGGTATAACTGCCATGCGTAAAGAAATAATGTGACGCCATCCTCTGTGAAGCTTCCGGGAAAGCCAGCCTTGTCATGAAAAACAGAACGCCAAAGTGACTTGTTGTTCCAGTACGTAAACGTAGCAAAATTCCTTCGTTATTAATCACCGACAAAAAACGAGGCCCCACGCCAGGGCTTTAAGGCGCTCCAAGGTGAATCACAAGAGGGACAAAAACAGACGCCACGATCTGCAAAGTTTATTTAGGGCGTGGAGTCTAAGGCCACAAGGTTCACGACCGCGCGCGAAGTCTCAAGGCTTGGAGGCCCTTCCAGCGTTTCGAGTCACAGAGATGGCGAAAAACCGCACAAATGTCAAAGCTGACGTCTCAGGGTTGCGCGCGCGTTTTCTCTCCTCAAGGTTTTGCGCCTCAAGGTTTTGGTCGCTTTTCGTTCTAAAGCTTTCACGCCTCAGGATACCCCCCCTCAGGGTTGCACGCCGATGCCAATGCTTGCCCCTCTCAAGGTTTCAAGGGTCAGGGTTTGCCCCTCTCAAGGTTTTAAGGGGGGCGCCTGCGCCTGCTGCTCCCCTCAAGGGGATGCCGTTCAGATGCCTGGCAGACCAACAAGACCACCCAAGGGGCGCCAGCGCAGCAGTAGGATACGCACGCGGCGGCCAGCCTCTCTCCGAGGTAGGCGACAGCAAAATGCCCGACAACAAGCAAAGACGCTAGCGGCCAAAATCGCGCACGCGTTTCGTCCCTGGAATGGCCTCAGCGAGTGCTGGAGCAAGCAGAGGCGCGCGAATATCGCCAGACGCGCCGCGGGTAGAGCTAGCTCCACAACGTCCGCATGCCTTTGGTTCACGCGCAGCCTGTCGCCTTTCAGGGCACGACTTCGCTGGCCCCTCTCATGCCCGAGGCTTTGCCTCGTCAAAGTCTGCCCGCAAATAACTCCGAGGGCGCCAAACAGCTCGGAGAGCGACACGAGCGACAAGGGTGGCAAGCGGGCAGCCTCTGCCTGCCTCAAGGTTTGTTTCCCAGGGTTTGCGGGTCAGGGTTCCCAGGGTTTGCAAACCGGTGGGCGGAAGCAGCGGCTTCAGGCCAGAAGGCCGGCGGGTCGGCGTTTTCGGACGGTACCCACGTCCGCTGCTACGTACTGAGAGCCACCCACGGCACAAGCCGGCCGCTAGCGCCTGGAATCGCGCACGCGGTGCCCGACTTCGGCCGCTAACAGCTTCAAACCGCTGCGCCGCAGCTCCAGAGGCTCCCGCATTCGCAACCCCAATTCGGTGCAACGGCGGAGACGGCCGCCCCGCGCACCAACGGAGCACGGCCAGAGGCTCTCCCCCTTTGGTCGCCTTCAGCAAAACAGGCCCGCTCATCTGCTTCCCGCGCCAACAAAGTCCGCGGCGCGGCCGGCACTAGCTTTCTCGACCTCTCTCTCGTCCAAACACTTCCCCTCCACCTCCGGCCCCTCGGTTCATGACTAGTATATCTATAGTATGTCATCAGCCAAATACGGTTGATTTTAAATGCGATTCATTGTTCAATGAATTGCGCCATGAGTATCTCGATCATATTCATTCTAAAGGCCTGCTCAAACACGACTATGCATGTACTTAGACCTTCACTCTAAGACACTGCAATCTTCTTATTAGCAAAGGTTTTCGCTGCCTGCCTCGCACGAGCAAGAAAAGCCGCATAAGCCTCCTGATCGTCAAACTGCTTAACGCAATGCTCAGTCAGTTCCGGTACGATCTGATGCACCATCGCAGCAATAACATGCACACATGGCAATGTTGCATTTTCGTATCTTAGAACATTTTAACTTTTTGAAATGACCAGCTCGTATGGTCGGCCTTCAACAAATACTACAGTTGAGCAGCATTTCCTATAAATATACAATTGTACTTAATTGATTCCCTCAGAGTCAAAAAGACCTTCGTAAATCGGCCAAGTCTAGTGCCAAATCGATAGCGCAGTGACACTCAGCGCAGTAGCCCAGGGACGCGAATACTCCGCAACCAGACGCCGTCGTGGCCACATCGTCGAAAATCATTTGATAGGAATCCTTTTCGACCTCGTCGGTTGACCCTGCAATATTCGAAGAAGCTTTCATATGGTGGGCACCCATAGCGTCCTCTTCGTTCGCTTCTTTCCCCTCCCCTGCCGCTTCAGCCCCACTTCTAGCGAGAGGGCCTTGCTTGACCTCATAATCGCCAGCAGCACGTCTTCTCTTCTTCTTCACATGAGTAGTGCCAAGGTGAAGACTGACGCGCGCAAACGTAATCTGTTGCTGGTCGATGAGTTTTATCGCGTCAGCAAAAGCCGCCTTTTCGAAAAGGTAAGATGCCAAAACCAATCGGGTCTCGGAACTCTGGTTGCCAGAAACGATTCGCCCAAAGGCCTCTCGTAACGAAAATTCGGGTACAAGGTCTTGCACAGCGATCTCGTCATCCGGCACCCAATCTTGCTCGTCTCCTAGTTCTTGCTCCTCCTGCATTTTGAGTTTATTTACAAAAGCGAAACTTGACAAACAATCATCAACGAAGCCCAATGATCAGACCACTCATCGTCGCAATCGCATACGACCGATTTTTGTAATAATTCTTAGACACGGAGGACTTCGAGAAGTTCATACAACACTCAGTCCCGGCGATTTCCAATACTTCTTGATGATTACTCAGGCAATAATTTCTTTCATATTGCAGACAGACTTATTCAAGTTCAACTCAAGCACCAACGACGCCAAGCACTAAGAGCGAGGGCCGGCAGAGGGACGCAAGAAAAACACAAGCATACATGCACCATCTGTGGAGATCGGAGGAAACAAATCGCGTTATTAGCGAAATTGTAGCATCGGTAGGAAAAGGTACTAGACAAGAGCATTGGCATCCAGGGCGCTTTATACGTTTCGAGAGAAAGTGCATCAATCGACCGAGGCTAAGGCTGTGATCTAGTGCTTACGCTTTCCGTCGTCTCTAGAAAAGCTTCTACAAATTGAAAGGGAATATGCGCTTAGGGACATTCTGATGCAATGACCCGATTGTAAAGTCCTATGTATCTATTTAGTACGAAAGGTAATCTACCCACTCAGTGAAACGGCGTAGTGGTACGACGTAGTAATTACTTAATACGACGTAGTAATTAATACGACGTAGTAATTAGTACGACGTAGTAATTACGACGTGGTTGTGATCATCAATTATAAACGTTCATTATGTGTGTGGACTGGATTGCAGCACGCGGGGAATAGAGTGGAAACCCAATCCTCCGGCGTTCTTCTTCTCGTTCTCCCAAATTAGTTCCGATGCTGTTCAAACGGGAGAGACGATTTCTGTATGATCAAGAACACCTAGAGTAAACTTTGGGCCTCACCATCTTGGTCTTCTTCTATCTTTTCTCCGGCTGTTGCGCCTTGTTTTGCACGATTATTCATCTCTTTGTCCACAGCCTGGCGGCGCTTTCTTGCCGCGCACATCGCGGAGCAGCTACTTTGGTATTTGTAGCGGAGTGAAAAGAGAAAAAACGCCAGTAGATTGTGGAATATGATCATGGCGAGCATGATCAGAAGAGGAAGATAGAAGGCTCTCCACGGGTTATTCGGATCAATCTTGTAGAATTCTTGAAGGATATCTTTGCTTCCATCCAAGAACAGGAATGGTTTGCCGCCATTTTTCCAAGACGCGTCCGGCGTCAGGTTTCCAGCAGGCCACACGCTCAGGGAGGCTCCCTGCTGCTGTTGTTGTTGCTGCTTTGGAGCTAAGTTCGCCTGCTGTTGCTGGCCTCCTGGTGCTGGTGTTGGTGACGCCGCAGTCGTGGGGGCACCGGGCCTTATACCTTCGCAGGCATGCCGCACACCCTGCCCATCCTCGAAGACGCAAAACCTAGCCGAAATCCGAAGATCCTCCGCCGAAGGGTTCAGATCCGTCATGGTGTAGCCGCTCCAGGCCCACCAAACGAGCGTAATGCCACACCAATAATAAGGCGAAATGTACCTAGACAAATTAGATGCGGATAGAGATCATGGTGCTGCGTTTTTCAACATTATCATTTTTGTACAGATCATCTGTAGTATCAATCTAGCTCCATGCTGTTTACTCATGATCATCATGGTCCGTGGTCGTTGAGAAAAGTCTATGAATAGAATTCTCAAGTGAACAAATAGTCTTACTTGCTCGGTGCAAATGTAACCTTTGTCTCGTTCTCAATCTTAGGAACAAGAAGTTCTATATTAGCGAACAAGTACTCATTCAATTATATATAGTAAGCAGTACTGTAGCCAGGCAAGCCACACTGGAATGCGCAGGCCTGGTGAAGACAGCGGACTGACATACATGAAGGGCAGGACGAACAGGGAGACGAGGAAGCTGACTCTGCGCGGGTCCACTACGAGAGTTCCCAATACATTCCCGTAGCCATGGGCGACGGTCTGCACTAATAGGAGCAGAAGTAGCAGCGTGAAGTATTTGGTCGCGTTGTAGTCTGGGAAGTAGCCCACGAGAAAAAACATGAAAGTGGAGTAGACCCCAGCCACAAACATATACTCGGTCAAAATATTCCCGGTCCTCTGTGCCAGCCAGTATGGGAACAAGTGATACAGCCGCTTCGTGGTGTACTCACGCTCCACTTGCGGTCGCAGCATGATGAGGTACATGCAGCTTGCGATCACTTCAGCCGTCAAGGGAAAACTCGCGACCAGCATCACAGCGCCGATGCGCGCTCCCTGGTCCTGGGGACGCACGCCCACGCGAAACATGCACATGCCCACTATAACGCACACGAAAATGTTGGCCGAGACTTGCAAAACAGTCTTTTCAAAATCGCGCAGGCGATCCCGAAACACCCGATTCCATAACACTGAAAACTGAGTGCACCAAGGTGCGTACATGCTTCGCCGCGAGTCATCCTCATCTGTAGATCCGCGTTTCATCTTCACCTGCTCCAAGGCGTCCTGATCCTTCAACATACTTGCTTTATTTCGTCCTAGCTCCTGGAGTGCGCGCAGCTCCGCTCCTGCGTGGCCCTCCTTGGCCCGAATCGCGCCGAGCCGCTCCAGTGCGTTCGCACAGTTTAGTGTGTCGAGGACATACTCGGACGCGCTGTGTCCCTTGGCACAGTCTGAGCCTAAATGCTTCTCGAGGTACGGAATCACCTCCTTCGCAGGCCCGAAATAGATCGTCTCACCCGCAGCTAGGAACAAGGTTGACCTAAACCAACTCCACACTAGCGATGACGGTTGGTGGATCGTGTAGATTATGGTCGTGGACGAAGTCTCATTTCTATAATTCGTGCTTCTTTGCGGCATTGCGCTGCCTTCAAATAGGAGTATCCCTGCCGCAGCAGCAATGCGCGCGCGCGCAAGATCCCAAGGATTTTTTTGTTGCTGCTTGGCAACTTCTACAACCTGACCGCCCGTCGCCATGTCTTCGTCTTCCTGGACAGCTGATACGACCAAACTTTTCTTGACTGAAGCCTCTTTGCACTCGCGCTGTGAATGCTTGCTGAGAGACTCAACGCGAGGTAAGTGTGTGCCGTCTTCGAAAACCTCAGGCAGGTCATCCCCTGCATCACCGTCGTCGTCCAGCACCTCATCTCCTTCTTGTGCAAGTAGTTGTCGCGACGATGTGGGGTATCCTCCTCCCATCGAGGAGGACAGTCGGCCGCGTGGCCGCGGCCCCGGAGAGGCAGCCAACATGATCGCGTCATCTGACAGTGTCGGGTACACGGCTTTGGTCATTTTTTCGGTATGCTCTTCTGGGTAGAAAATTTCCACAACCTCGCGTGCAACTGTGGAGTCGAGACCACTCGTAGGCTCATCCAGGAACAGAATCGCCGGTTCCGAAAGCAGCTCTTCTGCTACACTGAGACGCTTTTTTTGTCCGCCAGACAAGGCCACAATGCGCACACTTTCGAAGCCTCCCAAACGTAGCCGGTCTAAAATCTTCACCACGCTCTCTTCCCTCTCGGCATCGCTCCGCAGGTGCGAAAGCCGCAGCTTCGCGTTCAGCATGAGATGCTCCCAGACCGTCGAGGACCCAAGGAACGTGTCGTATTGCTCGACTATGCGGATCTGGGCCATGTGCGGGGAAAACGGATGCTCCGACGCTTCCACGAAGGGTCCGCCTCCCACCGATATTTGCCCCGTCACCTGCGTTGCGGTACTGCTGGAACGCGGGCGAAACACGCCAGCCAACAAGGAGAGCAGAGTGGTCTTGCCACTCCCCGAGGGACCCAAAATAGCCAAGGTTTCGCCAGCAGGGAGAAAACCACTCACATTGTCCAGGATGGCTTTGTCGCCAGTGCGAATCGTCACGTTACGCCACTCCAAGGAGTATGCGCCCCCAGCATCTTGATACTGTGACGACATCTTCTTGTCAAATTATATAAAAGCGTAGTCTCAGTCCTAGAAAGATCATGGATACGACGGCTTATTATGTAGGAAGAGGAACCGAAGGCTGCTACTATCTTTGCAGTGGTCTCAAAATTCTCAACCAAGAAAATTTGTTAAGCTTATATGCCAGGTATTCCACCAAAAAAGAATCGCTAATTATCTTCAATTTTCATATTTGGTCTATAAAGGATGCAGATGGACCATAGATCGTGCAGTCCAGATGATAAGCTCGAAAAAAAAAACAGGTCTTCAAAAGAACAAGATGACATATGATCTTCTGTCCTGGCTATAGTTTAAGTACAGCTCAATAAAATCCTAAGACATTTGCGGGTTTGATTCTTACGTCGTCACCCGGCGGGATACTCTTCATCATGTTTCGTCGCTTTATTACTCGTGCATCCCTACAAAAGTGTGACTTTCACGAGAGACCTAACGCTGATGACGAGTGGAGGATACAAGCATTCCCATTCGTGAGACCACAAGGTAAGAGGATAGAGGATTTCTCACTCAAGAAAAGGTCTATAATTAACAATGAGAATCAACGACTTCCTAGTGCATGTAGGACCAGGGAGAGGCAGACCATCTCCATATTGGAAATGGACAGACAACTCAACAATCAAACATCTTCCTTGATCTTCAGATATCCATTATTTTCATTTTATCTCTCTTTTTCACAGATCATTGCGTGGTGTCCTCTCTTGTCACAGAAATATTCTGCACCTGCCCTCCATGCTGTCGTGCATTTCTCTCTTCAAGAAGGTCGTTGTTGATCGGCGTTTGTGGTCAATGCATAGAGGTTGATGCACTTACCGTAATTTGACAGAATGCTCCAAACAGATTACGAGTTTTACTGGAACTGCTGTATCTTGCCGTCAGACCGCAGCTCCATCACGAACGCGATTCGTTAGGATGTTGGATCGCACTCAAGTATACATGCTATCCATTCGTTTCATCTTCCAGATATCTGGACCTCCACTTTTGTATTTTTGATTTCATTCAAGAAAAGAATCCAAGAAAAACAAGCTTCAAACACATTCTTTGACATTATAATATGCGTTCAAATTCAAGTAGTTCTACATTTATATCTCATACTATTTACAATAAGTACTTTGACCATGATCTTCTACTTACAGACAGTGCAATTCCATGCGCGGAAAAATAATAAATATCATGTCGTCCTACAACGAAAAAAGATCTGATGTAACGTAGTACCTTCTAGATAGAAGAAAATTTTTCTCACATATGATGCACTTCAAACCACTGGAAATGCAAGAACAAGTATATATCCATCCCCTGCCGAAGCTCCTGTATCACCAACGTGAGTCGTACTCACACGACGAAGGAGCAACGAAAGAGCGTTTTTCATTTTTTCCTAGAGCATGCTTTGTAAGTATTCAAGGTGGTCTTCATTATGATAGAAGACTACTCTTGTAACATCAAGAAGAAGTACAAGTAGCTGTGCATACGCAGGATCTGAGGAATAATGACTACTGGTTGCGCAAACCTAAAATCGTTTAGCCACGCGTCACCAGACGGATATTTTCTCCATGAAAAATCTCTATATGTAGTTCTAGCGATGATAATTGACCAAAGAAACATCGATCTCGCAATAGTACCATTATAAAATGCTTACGCGTACGTTACTGGCTCCACCGTTCTACATGATAAACAACAGCAACTCTACCGATTGTCTGATAGAGCCACTAGGTGATTCTCACGAACGATTTGCTGATGAAACGACAACGACACTAAATGCACGTGGTTGCTTTTACTACAATGAAGGGAAACAACACTCGAGATGAAATATTTTTCCAAGCATGGTATGCTTCCTATGTACTTATTCGTAATGACTTACGACCTATCACAGTTCCCACCATGATATAAAAGCCATAACTTAGTCAGTGCTCCAAAGATATCCATTTTCCTCTAAGGAAAAAAAGCTTCACACAGGCACGAGTATAAATCATTTTGATTCCCCTTCTCGAGTTGTCGCAACAAATTCCAGCCGCAGTAGAGGTAAGGTTTCTCACATATGTCCACCTTTTCAGTATTAAGTACTACATTCAAACTTGTTTTTTTACGTCATTTACTTTTGATTTTTTTTCGCGATGTCAGATTCTATCTTCGATATTTTTCCAACGCTTGATCTCTTCCATCCTATACTAGTATTTGACTTATCGTACACATTAAGTCCGTAGTAGACCATTATCTTTAAGTCTTTCCACACACATCTGGGATCGTTTCGCACTCCAAATCCTTCAATTATACTTCCAGGTCACAATCCCTAGCAGCCAAGAACTTTGAAGCCACATAAAGAACGTAGTTTTCCCAGCGACGTGATAGAATGTTCAAGCGTCGAAGGCTCCTCCTTCAGCCACACGCACCAGGGCTTCGGCGTACCCCGTGAGGTGAGATGCGACTGCGTCGTCCGTGGCAGAGCCAGCAATAGCGTTGAGGAAGCCGGCCAACACACGCGAAGGGATGATCAACGAGATCGGCTTCAAGTCCGGGTCGTACTTCGTCGCCATGCGGATGCGGTGCACCTTCTTGTCGCCGTTCATGTCGGACAAAACAAGCTGTCGCGTGACCGTCGCTGCGAACTTGTTCAACGGCAACAGACGCTCTTGAATCTTTTTCATGTGAGCGCCCGTCTTGCCCGTTCCGGGATTTCCGACCATGAATTCCGTCGTCAAAATTCCACCCTCAGAAATCTCACGGCCCATAGCATTGTGCGTCGTGAAAAGCTTCATACCTAAGGAGTATCGTCATTGATGTTACACTTTCTTTCGAGGAAAGGGTTTGTGAGCGAAATGCACAACCTATTCTTTCAAGGAGGTGATAAGATAAATTCCTCCTCTCGGATGAAGATAACCTCCCATCAAGATCAACAAGAATGATCTACCGATTTGAAAACTTCATTACAATCTATCATGATCATGAATTGTAGTCAAAAGATCAGAAACGAAATTGAGCTTAATTCTATCAGTATTGGTATTCATTGATGAAGTTGTTGTACCGGGAAACGGCATCATGCAGACACGAATGGAATCAACAATCGCCTCGTTGGACGGAGCCAGAAACATTTCAACGACACGTTCGAGTTCGTCGGTAAGGCAGACCACAACCCCGGTAGACAGCTTCATCGCCTTAGAAACCGCAGCCGCGCACAACGCGTTCTCAGCAAATTCCTCGTACGACGGAGCGTGGATAATCGTGGTGATACCTAGTAGCGCAGTGCGTAGAGAATCGCAAAAAGTAGAATCTTGTACGTCAACATCAAACAACAAAATTAAGGAAAACTCAATGCTGCTCTGATGAGAAAATCAATAGTACATTAGTACAATGAACTAATTTCCAAGTAAAAGTACTTAGTTCATTTAGTTCGATTACAAAGACAATTTACTTACTTAATTCATTGATGAAGATTGATAACAAGGGAGTTTCGATTACCCCCGCAAGATTCGTTCTCCGACATCGCCTGCATCAGGACGTTGAAGCGCGCGAGGCGGTCCTCTTCGAGGGTCTTTTTAGAGCTTAAAGTAGATAATAGATCTGACACCGATAAAATATGTTCACTTATCTGTCCAGTCGAAAAGATGATCTCCTTAATCATCTGTTTTGACTAGAAGCAAACAAAACAACCAACAGGGTAGCGTCAAAATAACCAATAGTTAACAAGACAGAAGAGGTTCTCGTAGGTCCTCGTCGAGATGTAGTAGCTACTATCTAAATGAAGCCTTAACCTTGACACCAATCATGACGATCGGCTTGCGCTGATGGTGGCCTTTCTTGCGGTTGATTACCTTCTCGGCGATCATCGTGGCAGCCACCGCAGCAGCATCATCAGCATTACCATCCGGAATCTGTAGTGAGTTTTCATGTGTCGTTCTTGTATAGATGACAGTAAAGTTCTTTGTAGAGATGATCTGTACTTATCGTTCCTGTAATATACACGTCTCATGACAAGTGACCATAATCTTCATATTGGAGGAGTACAACTAGTGGAGTGGGTACTTGCTGCAACAATCTAAATCTATCGGAATGAACCTTTGTGCTACTGCTGACATCAGTGAACCTGAAGAAGAACAACAACTACAGAGGACCACTAATTACATATATTTGTGGTGGAGCCGACCTAACTAGAAAAAAGACATATATTATATATATATTATTTGCAACTACAACGATTAGTACCTCCGCGCTGACATCAAAGAAGGGACGTTCAAAGCGATCGAAGCGGGGCTTGAATTGTTCCATGGCGCTGGAAGACATAGAGAAACCAACTGGGCGGCGGTTCGAAGGCCATGAGACGTTCTTCATGTTCTCGGTGAGACCCTTCATCGGTTGCTCGACTTCCATATCGCGTGTGGTACTCTTGGCAGTCGCCACGTTGGCATCCGAGGTGATGGTTTTGGAGATGAAGTCGCACAGGTTGTCCAAAGCAGACATGTATTCCGCTTCTTGGAGACCGGCTTGGTCGGCCAAGTAGGCGTAGGCCTTGGTCGGCTTCAGATCCTTCTCAAATTTGGCCTTCAACGCCATCATGTCATCCACACCCGACTTGCCGCCGCTGCAGAACGCCTTCCACTTGGAAGACTTTCCGGCGTTGCCGGCCTCGTCGTACTGTCCGTAGAGCTTGTAGAGGACGCCATCGGGGTCCGCGTAGAAGTCGTCGGCTAAAGCAATCTTGAGCATCTTGTCGGCTCCCTTCCACCCACTGCCGCAGAGGGTGTTCACGAAGGCCATACCGTAAATGCTTGCCTCAATGGCGGTGCAGAAGGCGGGACCGCTGCGCGGAGTGGCCGTGATCAACAACGTGCGAATTTTGAGCCCAGCGGAATACCCGGCCCCCGTGTCAATGGCATCCCAATCCGCGGCGCCATGGGTGCGCTCCTTGTGCTTGAAGAGGGTTTTGCGGACGGCCTTGACGAAATCGGAGTTGAACCCAAGGTGACGCGGATCCAGCATGATGACCACCTTCTTCAGATCCGGCTTGCGGCAGAGCGTATCTCCGCTCACCGAGATGGGATCACGATGCGACGCCGAGGCACGCCAGAACTGGATTCCGCTTCCAGCCGTCCACGCGCCCGGAGCCTTGCGCGCCGGAGCGGCAGCCGCGGCTGCCGGGGCAACCGGCGTCACGGGCGCAGCAGGCCCAGATCCATTGCTCTTTGCAGCAGTACTGGCACCACAACCCATCTTTTTGTTTTTGTGGAGATTGAATTTACCGTTACTGAGTGTTGGAGTTGAAAGTAGAATCTAAATGTATTCTACTTATCTTGTGTGAAGAACAAGGAGCCGATGTAGAAGCTATCGTGCTTGATGACTTTCTATGAAAGAAAGTGTGTACCTGTCTTAGTTGAAGCAAGAGCGTGAAGCTAGTTAATGTTGCGTATATACCGTTGGTATTGCGTATTTCTTAAATCTTTGATGCGCTTTATGTATTATTTCTAGAAATCTTTTACCAGAAGGAGAACGTCTTAGAAAAAATCCTACTTATCTTGTGAAAAGTGGGATTTACGTATTGTTCGCTGACAAGATTTGGGAATTATGACATCATGGACATGCTCAGAACATCAATCATAGCGAAAAACGTGCCTCAGAGTAAACAATAATGATAATCAGCAAGGTCCACGACTACGCTCGTTTAAAAGCAAATCATCCTTGGGATCGCTCGGACCGTGGCAAGCTTCAACACAGAGGATAATCATGATCGCTGTTGTAGATCACAGGACGGACTTTCTCTCAACATCAGGGCTTCTCAAGGCAGACTCATTCACTAAACAGAACAAGTGATTCAGCACACCGCTCGTCTTCAGAGAAGGCGCACACACGTCCGACATATTGATCTTATCCGGCGCCAGTCTTTCACTCAATCTTTGGTCAGACTGCTCGTCCTTCTCTTCTCATTTCAGACGTAGCATGTTCACAGACACACACTCAGGGCCGGCCTCCACATGGATGTCACTCCAAACACAACAAGCAAAGTTACAGGATCAACAATGGTGTCCGCAAAACACTTTCATATCAACGAAGGGAACTTCTCGTTACTTCAAGGATCTGAAATTTTCAAGAAATTGATCGTGGTTACCGTCCCTCTTGATAAGGTTCTTCTTGGATGTTCTCGTATCAAGTCTCAAAGCATGAGGGGCTTGAATCGTTCCTACCAAGATCTTATGTATGAGTCACCCAGGATGATACACAAGACAGCAGCCAACGTGTGGCACCAGTTGTAGATCCAAACCCAGCTACAGTCATAATCAGGCTTTGGTTTCTGTATGTTATGACATGTTATGGAGCGCACCTCGGACGAGTCTAGAGCGTGCCATCGGAAGTGTTTGACTCCTCTTCTCGGTCCGTCGCGCCGCCGGGGTGCGGCGGGGGCGTTACCAGTCTTAGAGCTAGACTCTTCATTCCTGAATTGTGATTCAGATTCACCTCTTTACAGCATGAAAAAACGCGATTGTTTTTCGTTATGCTGCTATCTACTAATGAAAATTGAAAATTGTATGTACTTTTAAAGGAAAAGCCTTAACAGATGAGTGAGCACCTCTCTTGCCTGGTCACCAGCAAATTCATGGCTAGCCCATGCACGATTCAGAAGTTCTTCGATCGCCATCTTTGCCCTGTTATAGATGAAAAGTGGGAAGGCGGAAGTTAGTAGGCCGTAATGGAAAATAAGTCAATCAGAAAAAGTGAGAGCGGAGTCTTTAGAACTGATGATGAAAATAGACTAACTTCAAAGATTCTTCATTGATTCTAACTGTTATACAAGCTACACAACAGAATTTGGAAAATCAAAATTTTATTTTTACCGCATTTTTTCTTGGTTTTTGAGAGCTGGTCTGGAAAAAAACCGACCTGCCCAGCCAGGATCTGACCTCGGGTCACGCTTCGCGTGTCCGTCTGGCTTCAAGTACTCCATGTCCTGCAACTCAGAAAACCATTTTGCGCCCTTTTCAGCAGAAATGGCCACAAACTCGTCGGCTGAGAGCGGCCTAGGCTCGATGTTCATAACCTTGCATCCGCCTTAGAAGTAGTCGTTATTTCAAAATGAAAATTGTTGAAGCATATATATTTCATCATGATGCTATTTTTCTCATGATGAGAAACAGATGGCCTTTTTTTAGTGGCTGATCGTTGGTGGCCTCATTCATACTTGCTTCTAGTCGTTCTTGCGAGTCCGAGGTTTGATCCTATGTAAAATTTGTTTGATATTTCTTGTGAACATAAAAGCTGTCTTTATCACTGTCGCCCTTTCCACACCATGCCTCTTTCGCTCTAGAAATACGCGGAAGGGAAGCAAAGCTGGAGTCTTTTCCCATGTACACCCACACGACTGGCCGCTCTTTTAGGTGCGCGCTGCTTGCAATTTTCTCGTCGGAGGTCATGAAAGAACTATACATGCGGGTTAGGCATAACCTAAAGCTATGGCTAACTGCAAAGTACACAGGTACGACTTTTTGCTCATACGCACCACGCAGATCAAACCTACTTCCTCGCTGTGTTGATTGATGAAATCGACAGTAGCACTCTGTGAAGGGCGAATGTATGACCGGTCGAACGTGGAATTTCATGCCTTACACAGTCCACCCGGCGACACGTAGAACGCGAAGCCACCTGTACAAAGGTCTGGGTACTCTGCCCCCAACAGCCCTATTACGTTCCCGCCGCTGCTTCCACCAACGCAATAAACTTTCTTGTCCGCTTGGTTTAGAAAACACTCACGATAGTGCAGATGCACTTATTCTGTAGGGCTGTATGAAATCTAGCAGACGAGTATGAAAATTATAAAAACAAGAAAGTACAAGATGAAGATCAAGACACGGGACGAGTCATACGATTAGTTGCTTGTATTCTGGCCTCTTTTGCTTCAGCAATGCGAGTTCTGCACGGACGTCGTCTGCCACTGTTTTAACGCCGTTAGGATCAGAAGGCCAGCACCAGTTGGCCATATCACCCAAGGGCGTCTCGAAAGCGAGGTATCCAAGCTGAAACTCCTTTTGCGCGACTTTGAGGAACTTCTGCTCCTCTGGCAGGAAGGTCCAATCGCCTGCTTGGTGGGTGCAACCATGAAATAGAAGGAGAAGGCCCTTTGCGCCTACGTCTGCTGGAAGGGCTAGCCCGCTTACAGTTTTGTTAAGCGACCCAGACGTATCCATGATCTCTTCCGTCGCAGCAGCCAAAGCCGCCTTTTGCGCATCTTCTGCATTAGTGTCAACCGGCTGTTGCACCTTCTGATCGGAGTAAGCTTCGGTACCAAGGACCCAACGAAGGCAAAAGAAACCCCTAAAAACAGCAAGCATAGCTGCCTTGGGTACTGCGCCACAGCACGTCTTTTTCTGTAGTGACATCTATCTTATTTTTCCGGGATTAGTTTCCCTCTGAGATACAGATATACCGAGCAGGAGATCACTACCTAGGTAGTACAGGTAACTCCAAATCAAACTTTCACCAGGTCATCTACTTTGTCTCTTGTTGTAATCTTAATACAGCCAAACATCACCATTTTCTCTTTTTCCCGCCCCCACACATTTTCATGAATCCGAATCTTCTCGATGACACCAGAACAAACACTTAAGCGTAAAAGCTTCCAGCTCTTATTGGAAACGAAGCAGCTCTGCAATGGGCGCTCCCATCAAAATGAGTCCCAAAGTTATCGCGACATCAGATCTAGATCACTATATTCGTTTCGTCTCTAATGTCTTCGACCAAATTAATACCTTGAAGTCCCTCCACTGTGCGGATATAGCCAAGAATTAAAAAGATTCCATACCAATTTTGCATCGCTAGATTTCGAGACCAGAGTGCTGCTACTAACTGGTAACCTACAGCCGCCCCCTTGCCCTTGAGTCTCGTCGTTAATATTTTCTCCTCAAATGTACATCATGAGTATCATCATCCCCTCGCCACAGGTACCTTTAACCAAAGTAACTGCAGAGCATCGGTCTGTCCCTTCTTCATTTTTTCCACACCGTCCACTAGCATCTGGTACTCGAAAACATTCTTCACCTTGGATTCCGCCTCTGAGAATGCCTTCTGCGCCTCATCAATTACGTTACCTTGAGGAGGTTGCAGGTTATATAGAAGACAAGGTCGGTGGGACCTTTTAATCATATATGGAAGCACAAATAATTATCGACGTAGTTGGAAGTATGAACGAAAGACACTTGGAGTTACCTTTCAGGAGCACAATTCCCATGTTGAACCAAAGCGTAAATTCGTCTGGATGCAGGCTAATGCCTGTCTGTAGCAAGTCTACAACGCGTTGCAGCTCTCCAGGCGCAGTGTGGAAGATGGACAACGCCAATGAGTTACAAATTAGACGTCTCTTCAAAAATATATATTGCACAGACGCGTCTTTGATGTCTTTTCCTCAACTTGAAGAAACAGATACTTTGTCGAGGTACCCTAGTATGAATCGAAAATGCTTCTCACCGATCAGAAAAAATAGGAATTAGGTTTATAAGACACGACAGCCAAGCCTTAAGTAAACATAGGCAAAGTTCGGGTGCAGCAGTTGCAGGGCCTCTTCGAGAATTGGTCTAGCTTCCTGATAGGCGGCAACACAAGCCAAAGCGTAGCCAAAATCGTTGTTCAGTAGGAACTGGTTATGGTCCCCGAACCCGATGCCGTGACCTGCTTGATTTCAGCTTCAAGTTCAACAGGACACATTACTTACTACATCATCCAATATTGCAGTAAACTCATACACGAGTAAAAGGAATATGCCTAGCTATCATCCTCGTCTGTTTGAACGAACATCTGCGTGAGCCAACAACAATGAATCTAGGAGATACCGTCGTTGATTTTGATGAATATCTGCAGGCCTTTCTGGCAATCTCCCTTTTCTAGCCATATCCGGGCCATGCAGTAGTCTGACATCGCGTTGTCATCAAAAACGTTGAGCGCTTTTTGATAATACTCTAGTGCACGGTCGTGATCCCCTTTGGCTTGAAGCAGAACGGCGTACTGATGGAGAATCTTGGCCGATCGCGGTTGCCACCGACTCGCCTTAGCGTCCTGCTCGACTATTAGAGCTAGACTAACATGCCGGCGAACCTCCTAGGATGTGGCATTCCAAATCCACCCGCGGAGCCAAAACAGAAGGAAGGAAGAATCACTAGGAGAAAGCACGTCCACTACTAGTACATGCGACGCAGTGGATGAATAATTCAATTTCTTCTTGTAGCAATTGGAGTTGTACTAGCCGTAAAAACAGCGTCTCCTTATTTCTCCAATGCGTTGTCCGGACATAGGCAACATACATGTAATACGCGAGGTAAAGAATCTTCAGCACCTGCATCAGCGAAACGCGGCGAAGATCTTAGAGTCTCACAGCGAAGGGCTCCCAGCTAGAGGACGGCCAATGTATCAAACCCAATTTCAAGTACTCCATCAAGACATTCAATGAACGGCCGGAATCATTTCTGTTAATCATACTACATGTTGTATGTAGTAGGAAATGCTGCGAGATAAACTTTTGATCCTTAGATAGTCAAGAGTCTTATTTTGCACGAGATGAAAAGAATCCTTATTACAGGACAGAGACGAGTGCAGCGTGAGGACATTTTTTCCTTTTTTCCTTTTTGGTGTTGTTTGTGTTTAAAGTCCCTAAACGGGTGAGGAAGGTTGGTTATGCTGCGAGATAAATTAGGTTACAGTTCGTAAAGATCAGTCAAATGTGATGTCGCGGTGAGCGAGCAGACACCCTGCGAACCAGTCCTAGCGACGGATGAGACTGGCTCCGCTGCTCCAGTCAGGCCCGCTGTATCCTTTGAGAGTGCAGTAGAACTTCCTATTCTTCTTCTTCTTGTCGCACAGCAGAGCCACCTGTCTACGTCGATCTCGGTTGTGAATATTCGCCTAAGTGGCTGCACTATCATGTTATCTGCTATCAGTCTGTCGATAAGAAGACAGCTTCCGACGGAGCACGGGTACAGAAGGCGCTCACCTATAGTTGTCCCGACAAGAAAAAACAAATTGCTCGCTGGGACGAAAGGTACGACAACGATTCCTGCTGCGAATAAGTCCGTTACTATACCGTCATTTTGACAGCGCAGTAAATCTCCTCTAGTCGTGCTAGCACTGGAGGAAGATAGTGCGCTTTGATTTTCATCACCTTCGTCGATCTTTTCAACCTTTGTCTGCTCTGGTATTCCGGCTGCTCCCTCCACTATTCGGCCCGCTTTGGCTGAATCCTCCTTAGAAAAATTATCGGTTGTCTCCACCGATGCGCCGCTTGAAGATTTTCGGGAAAGCTGTGCCGCATGGTCTTCGTTGAAGAGCGTTTTCCTCCGTGGCAACGCTCGAAAAAACATGCTGATCAAAAAAGCATACGCCCCAAAAATACCCATCACACGCAAATCGAGGTGCTTCTCGAAAAGCAATGGCAGACTGTCATAGCTGTAATCCCATCGAAATTAGAGCTGGGCAGCCTTTGCTCATGATGATGAAGTTGAGGGTTCTGAACAACCATGAAGTTATGAATAGTAGTACTTTCGTCTTTGAGGATCATCAATAGCATAAGCACTTCTAGTAGCAAAAAAAGTATTGCGTACTAGATAAAAATAGATACATGTCCTCTGAGTCGGCGATGAATGCGAAGCATAAGAAAGATTCCACGGGAAGAGCAGCAACTGTGCGTATACCTGGTGAAACATGAGGTAACTCCAGAAGCGAACCACCATGTCGTCTTGGTAGCGCACAGGCGTATCTACATAGCCGAAGTCCGCATGTGTCCCTTGTACATAAGCGGACCTCAATGCGAAAACCAGAACAAAAAGACCTAAAAACAGGCCGCCGCGAACCCATTGCTTCTGCACCAGGCATAAAAAAGCGACCAGAATCGGAAGAGTGAATCCTATGTTGGTGGTTTAAATAGTGTGCATCTGTGTCAAAAGATAAATAGCGTCGGTCATAATTACTGAGCCTGAGCACTTGTACATTATAGCCTAGCCAGGACAAATCCCAGTATATTTACACATATCTTCATGCGGGAGCAGACTGAGTATTGATCAGAAAAAAAAATAAGAAGGTGGTACTAGTTGTACCTGTCTCCTTGCACAACCCACTTAGCACCGTGCAGAGCGCGACTCTGGGTAAATTCTGCGAATCCGCACCCAACAAGTAGAATAATGTCGCTGCGGAGTCCGCGCGACCGACCATGTAGACTATATTCTCTACATGCACTGGGTGCACCGCAAAGAGAAACGCGGCATACACATTGTCTCGAAAAAACCAGCATCGCCGCACGACCAGACACGTCAACGTATGCGTCACGCAATTCACATTAAAATAGGGCAAGGGAGAGAGTGAGCAGATCTCAAGAGCTGCTGCTTTCTCAAACTTAATAAGAAAGTACTTAAGCGAGAAGCTACCTGGATTTGAAAGTAAAACTAGGATGCAGAACAACAGCGACAGAAGAACGAGAAGTCTAAATCCGAAGAGCATAATGATAAGCCTCAGGCTCGGCAACGGGTCTTCGGGAAAGAGGTAGTAGGACAGCCGGAAACTAAAGGTTATCAGCGGTCGGTAACTCTTGTGTGTCCAATGAATTCCGTCGTTTGGCCACAAATCCTGACCCCAAAAGTCGTGCACGAGAATGTCATACCATGTTGATTTCTCTAAGTTTGTCACATCGGCATTTTTTAGAGGAGTTGACTCTACTGATCCAGTGCTTCAAATTCCTGGACCTGTAACACCATCAGTTTCTTGCGTTCAAGAATCATTCAGTAGACTGATTTTGGTTCCGAGGAATCAATAAAAAGTAAAAAGGAATTTCTGAAGCACAATTAGTAAGCAAGCCTTAAATTCCGTGTCACAGCAAAGCCCTCGTCAATATAGGTGTCACGAAAGTAGACACAGGCGTAAAACGGCAAAGTGAGCAGGATGACGATGGCGTCCGCAGCAAGAGACGATGACAGAAAGGATATCATCTTGTTGATGTAGTTGTCCTTTCGTCAACATGGGTAGTAAGTTCCAAAGTGGATTAAATCATGCAAAAAACATCATCGGATAATTGTCATTAGACTTCCGATCACTTTAGATCGATCTAATTAGCGCGATACTGTAATGTATTTATTAGATGTGTGTCCATCGCAGAAAATCTCCAAAGGACATTCACAAATGACATATGCGTGTCTGGAAGGTCGTCCCTGAACCCTCTGTCTCTAGGATGAGGATGCTTTGGCCCCTTGCTCCAGTCATCTCACGTCCCCTCTAATTTGGTAAGTAGGCGTGATCTTCACCGGGATCGAACGACAAAGGATCTCGTTATACAACAAGGATTGAAAAGTAGGCAAGCTGTGAACCACATCGAAGACACACCTGCTTCGAGCACAACAAGAATCGCGATGTTCTTGGTCGAGTTTCGCGAGCGTGTTTGATAAAGCTTGCTTTTCTATTATTGGACTCACTACACAGACACCGTTGACGATCCGTCGCGACTTGAAATTTCAAGTTAGTTTGCCATAGCTTTGCAAACGTCAGCTTAGTTGCTTCCTCGGTAAAGCAATTGAAAAAAGAATGGGAGCTGTGTAATTGGGACAGCGCCACGTAATTATTCTGTCGGACTTCTACCAATCTCTAATCTATCATCACAATCAAATCGTCAGAAGATGAAATCGCTTTCGAATATCTTAGTCCGATGAAAAATCCTATCTTACGGGATACTAAATTTCAAAGGACCGAAGGAGCCCCAGCTCCGTGATTCGATCTCCAAACGTAAATGAAATGCTATCCGCGAAGGCCATTTATCAACAGATGGTCTTCGCCTCGCGTCAGCGAGCCCTTTTCCACGAAGAGCTACCTACCAGGTTAAACATCACAAGGAGAAGCTCACCCAACATGGTAGTCGCGCACTTGATTCAGGATCTCTACTGAGTGTCGCAATGTCTTCAGGGTCTCTTTTCCGCGGATCCGCCGTTCCTTAATGTCGCCGGCCTCAGTAAGAAGGTGCTGGAACAGCTCGGGCTTGTAGAGCTGCGCGACGCACTCGCGCTGCAGGACGTCTTTCGCGGTGTTCACCATGAAATACATGATGCTTTTCGGGACCGCGTCGACGATGTTCTTTTTTACGATCCCGTAGTACGACGCGATCAAGGTTTTGATGATGTTGATTTCAACGCGCTCTCGATCTGACAAATCTTCACTCGGGTACACCGTCGGGGGCATATGTGGCAACTTAATTGCGGCACCGGTAGCGAAAAACTGGTCTGACGAACTAATGCCGCTGGCAAAACGCTTGACAATGAAAGCCTCTCCTATCATACCACTTCTTCATGAAATGTTTATGCCATGGCTCTTTTTGATGGAGAAACAAATAGTAGCAATCAATCGTGAGTAGGAAGAAACAGTCTCGGTTAGATACATAAGTATGCAAGTATCAGGCTATGATGGGTCGGTTATTGAGTAATAAAACTTTCATCGAATCAACGGATTTACTTAGTAGTGTGTGTCATTGTTCACAAAAGACCCGTTGCCGTCCACAACTACATGACACAGGCTGTCATAACAAGAGATCCACCTGCTGCTCCTGCTCCACCGAGTGCGCCGACTCGAGGACCGTGACCCGCTGAGCCCATACCAGCGCCACCGCTACCGTAGGACGGTGCTGTCGATGACGTCGATCCCCGTAAAAAATTGAAGAAACCTCCCGACGGCTGGACTTCCTGTTTCACAGATTGCGGCTCCAATGGCGGCGACATTCCAGCAGCACCAGTTATTGACGTGGTCTGCGACAACTCTCCCGGCCGCCGCGGAGCATTGTACTGAGGATGATCGAGTTCTAAAACATGAAAGATATTGATATCAATAGTTTGCGAAAAACCACAAATCCGTGTATGAAAATGAGGTTAAACAAAAAGAGAAGAAGGCGCCGTAATCTATGCGGTACCTGCGGCTCCCTCGGCGGTGGTGGAGGATAAGTGATGCCTCCTGCCATGGGGGTGTAGCCATGACCCAGGCTTGTCTGGATTGCGTTGCTGCCACCGATAAAATCAGGATGATTCGTATTGACATAAGCAAGCTCTATCTGCACCAAATTGATGATCATCTGATTTGTCGGCTGCAAGCACTTTTTTAGCACACCTCGCACTACCTAGTGTAAGTGAGAGAGGGTTTTTTTCTGATGCTATAGCTCTACCTCTTCTCCTTGCTTCGTTCATACAGAGGAGATAGGGGCCTGTGCAACACGCGCTTGAAACTACAATAATGACCACTACCGCTCTCTACTCTGGAAGACGAAGATTCAAAGTCGTTTTTGAGAATGAGAAAACAAAGCCCACCGGATGTAAGTAGTACTTCGAAAATGCTATCTCGAAGGTTTACAAATCGTCGCATCTCTGGCACCTCGCACTCCACAACAATCCGCTGCAATTCTTCAAACACGTGATCGATGCACTGCAGACACGGCTCCTCTAGCTTCTCTATTTGCTTTTTCACCTGCAGAAGATGAACATGAGCTTACTTATATGTAGAGTGAGTCTGTTTCTACATGAAGGTGCTAAGTGAGAATCCTTCGACTTGTTCGGGCGGAGGGACTAGCTTGCAGGCATGAAGGAGAAAGAAAGGAAAAAAGTTCAATTTGTTGGTGTGGTATCTATAAGTATAATTTCTGTACCAGCAATTCAAAAGCCGCCTCCGGTACAAAAAGAACCGCCTTCGGCCCTGTTGCGTTCCGTATGGCAGTCCTAATTTCTACATCGCAGAGACCGTGGAAACAGTCGAACTCCGATATTGTTTTCGAAAAAATCTCATGGAATATGTGATGCAGTCTGGCTCCTCCCGCCAGTTGGTCCGGACTACCGTTTTTCAACCGCTTGCCGTCAATGCTGTGGTTGTAGGATGATTCGGTGGAGAAGGGTTGACAGTAGGAGGACAAATGCGAAACGCACCAAGCCATGTGTATGATTCTAGATGATCGGTCAAGATTTTCCGGAAATAATGAAATAGGTAGAGCCACTGTTCTACTTGACGTATATCAAAGAGAAATACAGGTCACATAATTTCAGATCCACCTATACCTGTCGCAGAAATTCCTCGTAAATTTGCTGAATAGATGCAGAAGTAGCGCGCCTTGCGAAGACCCATCCTTCTCGAATAAAGGATCCCCATAGGACTGAAGCTCGGCCTCGGTCTGATGCTTAGAACCGTATGCGTATACCTATTTTTCTGAAAGTAAAGGACGATCATCGTAATTAGTTTGATTTCCACTATGTATCTATGGGCCGCGTGTGGCGCTGAAACATCCAAATAAGCCTTAACATGGATACTCCGCATCAAACGAATCTTGAGGTCCGGAATGGTGTCTCGTATATGGTACATCAGCCTTCGATTGAGTAGCTGCGAGAGGTATGGTATCCCACAACGATGGGCAATGTTCCGATAAGCTGCGTGCTGTCGGAAGAACGAGGCCTCCTCAGAGAGAGCGTCCTGTAGTGTTGTTGTTGCTTCAGAATGTTGCGCATCTCGGGTCCGATGCTTTGTTTTTGAGGTTAAGCGAAATGACACTGAATTCTCATTTCGAATCATTTCTAAAACGACTTTTTGCTTCTTGGGGCTGTGAAAGTAAAAGCAAATCTTCTCTAAACATAAGCACACATCACATCATACATGAATAGTAAGTTAGTAGGTTAACACCTTGACACTTTTCGCATGATTTGTGGTGTCTTTAGCGTTCCGACACACGACACCGACGTAACCTTGCCGCAAAGGCACAATCCGACCTTCTAACATGTCAATGGCATCTGTACCCTCATCCATCAAGTCGCACTTGGTGATAACGCCAATAGTTCTGTCCCCGTCAGGATCTACCTCTCTGGCCAGCGCTAGCGCATCCGAGTTTGCGATGTCGGTAGAGTATGAAAATGGGAGTCATTTGTTTCAGTATGGTACGAGATGCAAGAAAGTACTTGTTGGCAAGTGGAAATGGCAGTCAATTGTTTATTGTGCGTACTCGCTAGCGCGAGAGGCGCAATATAATAATATGTACTTACTGAGAAGACGCAAGGAGCCATGTCGTAAATTCGCGGCATGCGTAGCCAGAATAATGCAGTTCGGTTTGCGAATATACGAAAGTATGAGTTCCCGAATACGCAATTCGATGTCGGCAGGCTGTTCTCCAACAGGCACTTTCGTTGTTCCAGGGAGGTCTACCTGAGGGTTTGAAACTCGCCTATCATTCTTGAAGTAGCAGATAATCGACTAGTGAATTAACATGGAGAAACAAATCTGTACGACAGTGTCACGTACACAAGTCTGCAACCCTAGAATTGATCATAGAAACTTTTCCTACCAGTGTCAGGTCGATAACGTTTGGAGAGAAGATTTTCAGTTGTATTGGTTGCGGTGAGACTCCCTTATTCTTGCCACCAATCCGATCGGTCTCCCGCTCTATCTCTTTCCTTACCGCTTGAAAATCTTCGAAAATTTGGTCCGTGTGGGCAAACATAGCATACTCCGCAGGCAGCCGCTGTGGTAAATCACTGCTAGTTGCAGTTGAGGAATTGGTGCTCGAACGTGGAACGGCTTATGAAGTGGAAGACGAGGAGTACCGGACACAGACTGATAATGGGGGACGATAGGTAAACAAGGCTTACAAAAGTAAACTCGAACAAAAAGGCATGCCTGAGCATGAAACGCTTCTTCCTGTGCGACATCCTTCTAGGGAAAGATCAGTGACAACTTGTAAATTTAGTAGGTCTGTTCTTTGTTCAGAGGAAGAAGTGCATCTGAACATCTTACGTACAATTACAACGAACATCATGAGCGTCCACTACAACCATAATAGCCTTGCCCCACTACTAGACGTAGAACTTCGCGTGCTCAGAGGGTTCTCTTTCGAGGAAGATTGTGAGCCTCCAAGCTGAAGCGACCCCTGACTGGGTACCGTACTCGCTGTCGTGCCATTGGCCTTTTCCGCCACATTCGTATGCGGAAAACTATGAATCTAGGAGAAATGAAGTCGTGGTCAACACGAAAGACGCTGAACTTGACTGGAGTAGATTCTTCACAATCATTAAAAATATGTAAGTGGTGCCACGCAATTGAGTTCTTCGTGCTCGGCCTGATTCTTTCACGCTACTAACTATCCTCCTATCCAAAATTAGGGTAAAAAATAAAGTGTCCCCCGTCTACCAATAAAAGCAAAAACTAAACTACAGTTAAGAATATTATTCTTCCATAACTGCTCGATGAACCGTGAAAAGAATTACTGCCCGATGTGAGGCTAGTCCTTCCGGGCGTTCCTGGAGAGACACCTTGCTGAACTACTTGGACTGCTCCTTGGTGCTTGTTACCTCTCGTATTAGACCAGAAAATCATATGGACCGATAACCGAAACAAAAGAGTATGCCTATCATCACTAGCGAAGCCCTTGTCCTTGTAGCGTCGACATCGTCTGCACTCACAACTGAGTAGAACTACAGTAGACAATCATAATTCCTGTCCCTGCGCTTTCTTCGTTTCTTGTGCTGCTTCCGCCTTCACGATTGTTGTGCAATTGCAAAATCAGCGGCCGCCGCGTGACAATGCCTTGTCCCCGTGGCAAAAAGTCCCGACCTACTATCGACTCCAGGACGCTACTTTTCCCGACGCTTTGCCCTCCAATCACCGCAATTTGTGGAAGGTCCACTTCAACGTGAAAGCCCACCGACGTGAAAACGTCATGCAGCTGATTGATCACTTCGATCAAACGCTCCATTGTGGTTGATCTTGTCCTCTGAATCTGATGTCCAACGGTAAGTGAGATGTAGTTCTTACTAAAAGTACTTAGATCGATCTCCGGTGGTAGTAGCGAGGAGCGAGATACCGTCAGAAGCCTTCAGAGATGTGCTTTGCTGGCGAGTGAGGTCCCCGAGACAGGGTCAAAAACGCAACCGCACGTTAGGGTTCCTAGCAGGTTGTTCTAAGATGCTCGTCGGCCTCTGCCTGTTTTTTCCAACGCATCCGCACTGCTTGCACCTTTCGTTGGTCCTAGAGCGAGCACCTCGCGGTTCGCCTCAAGATCGACTGCTTCTTTTACGCAACACATAGAGAACAATTGTGCAATGAAAGCTGCATTTTTTCCGTGGCTTAGGCCACATGAATACGAGGAGTTGTACACTTCTCACGGAAGGGTAGCCTAAACCACGCAAAAACAGAAGTCAAGTACATGAAAGAGAAGGGGACCTATGTAGATGAAGAACGAACAAGTAAGCGTGCCCAGGCGCTAGACTACAATAGCGAGTGATCCTCGTCCCCTAGTACACGTCTGTACGACATAAATGATTTACCTCCGCGATACTATTGACTGTGGAGCAAGGTGACAAATACCACTAAAAAAAGTCGATAAGTGATACTACTGATGACTCCAGCATAATTCGCCTGTCTTTCATTGTCACGATTATCAACCTTAGAAACATTTCTAATAATGTCTAGTGCCGGGCGTCAAGATACCTTCACTCCGTCTCACGACGTCTCGGAAGACAGTTCTTCTCACGATCGTAGGTAATTTTTCAAAGTCAATAGGTGGATCCGTTACCATTCCAGAGAGGAGAGAACTTCCTTCTCACCCCGTAAGAAAGACTCGATACTGATACATAGTGACATCAACATCAACGCCTCTTCAGCTAGTGAAACAGCCTTTATTTCGTGTACCGCATATGCACGAATCAGTGAAGTAATCGTCAGCTCTCGAAGCCGCCTTCTACTAGAAATTGGTACGCGAAATATTATGATGCCGGTGGCTAAAACTGAAACATTGGACTTGAACACTTCTTTGCACCTGCATCATGATACGCCCTGGAGGGTCACGAGCAAGCCAACCAATTCACGACCTTCTTATTCCTGACTCAAGTTGGTGATCCCTGGCCGCATCTTGTTACGTGGTTGAGCAGTCTTGTACGTGAAAGAAATATTTAGCAGTTTTGCAGCAGTCGGGCGGCATGTCGCTCTTCCTCGTGATTGAAAAACTGAAACCACGTACACGTTCGCCTGCTATCATCTGCTATTGAGAGTATGGTTCGCGTGCCGTCGCACCTAGCTTACAGCGGGTCCCGGAGTGGATGAATGTACTGGAGAACGACGGCGCAAGCGACCCGATGGATGAACGTCACCTCTGATAAGCGAACCAAGTTCGTCTCTTGAAAGCTGCTGAATGTAGCCCTTCAGTCGCTGCACGAGAACCCAAATATAAGCGTTTACCAGACCAAAAAGCAACAACGCAGGTTAGAAAAACGACGTTGAAGATTGGTGCGACTAGTACGATCATCTACTTAAGTACATCCGATCTTGCTCGAAGAACTGCGACCAAGGTCTTACCAAATCCTAGGGCTATCTTTTAAGCACCTCAAACTCAGAGTAGTCTATCCTGTCCATACCAAAAATAGCGCGCTGACGTAGAGGTTTGCGCCCCGTCGACTTGCTCCGAGCTTTGACCTTCCGAGTCGATCACAATCCACGCCCTTAATCCCAGCTCAGCTACCAGATAAAACTGGTACGCCTGAAGATTTTTGTAGTCTCGAAACATTTAGACTTTTCCTTTTGCTTCGCCAGTCTTCGCAGCTTCTAACTACTCATGATGGTCGCGGAGGAGTGATTGAAAGGGCCGACGCCTCTCCTGTTCACTGCAGTGGTTGCACGACCAAGTCGAAAGAAGAATTGATTGAAGACCCAAGAAGACTACAGTGGTCACTGCAGTGGTTTGCCAAAGAATCAGAAGATATAAAATTGAGTACGGTGAGCCAGAATTGACTGAATCGGCGCGCGCCAATAAATCCGGTCAACCCAAATGGCGCAAGCAGTGCCATGAACGTGTTTTAGAACTGCAAAATGAATGGATTCATCTTGCACCAGAGCATCTTGACAATGTCCCTTCAACGAGAAGAACAAAAAAAAATGCCCGTGCTATGAATTCGTGAAGAAGATTACAGTACCATGGGAAAACATGTCAGTCCCTACTACGAAAACATCCGAACAAGATGCTACAGTTGGCCGCGAACAGCTCTAAGTACAAGACGCTATAATTGCAGATGAATTTCTCGAGGCCTTAAGTCTTGTATGTGGAAGGATACATCACGCTAATGAACGTGAAAACAAAGTTCAGTAGCACAATGCACTGCACCGTTCCGCTGTAATACAGTACCCGAATCTGATGTTTCAATGTTTGTACTTACTACTTAGAGGCCTGTAAATAACTACTTAACTAAGGTTGATATCGACCTAGTGATAAATCTACTATTTTGTGAAAAATGTCAAGAAAGAGACAGCTCCAAAGATGACTCGTCATACGCAAACCCAAAGGCGAAGAGAAGTTGTAATACAAATCGATCGCCCTAGGAACGGAAAAACATAAGAAAGATGAACAAGCTTGACTGGAAACAAAAAAGAGTACCAGCTTCTGTTCCTCGATTGAAGGGGCATTCACCAAAACAAGTGCGCCTAAGCCTACCGGTGGACCCGCAGCTATGAATCTTTGTGGGCCTGGATTCGCGAAGCCGTTCGATGCCGGATCGCAAAAAATGAAGGAGAAGGAGATAGCGTGCGTGGAGGAACAGGAAACTGTCGCCTCAAGAAGGAAATAAATCGAGCCCTCGTTCCGCGGGCCTGTGTTTCCTCTTCGCAGGTACTTTTAATAAATGCTGGATGTAGATGAGTACAGACTCCTTCTATTTCCGCATAACATTGTATCCTGCATATCCTCCGAGCGGGCTCCCCTGAGGCACGCCTGCTTGGACCTCGTTTCGATGGAAGGATTGCGCACCCGGAAGCACGGGCTGCCGCGTTTTAGAGTGTGCTTTCTTCCGTTTCCGATCTCGCACGCTAAACAGTGTTCACGTGCTTCTGTCTCGAGACCCACCATCGTGGTTATACAACATCAGTTTACCCTTCTATCACATATTAGATGTGACGAACCACCAAAGAAATTACTAGTGCAATACATAGAGATCTTACTTAAAGAAAGAACGACGCAAATGATTACCTATTCGAAAAAAGCACAAGAGTACATTAAACATAACAACGACGAGGTTTACAGGTGCTCGGTTAACTCGTGCATCCTCCTGCGGCTGGAGTTGCCTCGCAAGTGCTTCATCAGACAAGTCTGCTGACTCAGCGACATCGGCCCCTGCACTGCACGGCACGGGAGACCCGACCGCCGTGGCCATGGCATGATGTTCGTCTTATATGTCTTCTTGTAGGCGTTGATGTCCCAGCACTACGCGCAGGTCGATCAAGCCAAGCCCCGCGCTACAAGTCCCACGTTCACCACGGCAGTCTGCTTAGAACAACAATGTCACACGTTGCCTACTGTCGCCCTTGCACGCAGGCAAGAAGTTGCATGAGCGGAAGCGCCGCTTTTAATGGTGGCATTCTCGTGCTGTAAAAATCAAGTACTTCCTTAGTTAATCCAGTGTTTGAGCAACTTTTATTCAAAAAGAGTATAATTCTTTACAAAGAAACTACCAACAGGAAATTCTCTCAATGCACTTGCTGATCATACGCGAGAGAAAGACGCCCAATAGGCTCTTTTAATACCATGCAAATACCAACGCCCTATGAAAGACGAGACGCATTCACGGCTTAGTTCTTCTCCAGCCTCTGGATTTCAGGCCGTCTCCTAGCATAAAATACTCTGTTGTACCAGAACTCCTTGGTTTGTTGTAGAGCAGTTAAGCTTCCTTTCATTCCTCATCCTCGAGAGTTCTCTTGATGTCACTCTTTCATTTTTCATTCGCATACCTTTTGGCAGACTCTGGTGTTACACCCCCGCATTGCTACATGAGACTGAGATTTCCATTATTACATGCATGCATGCGCATTGATTTGCATCATTCCGATGCATGGAACATAACTAACTAAGCAAAAATTAGCGGTAGTACGCAAATGAATCAACGAAAATGGCGAGGTGCTTCACCCTTATCATGGTTACTTTAGTGTAAAAATTCTTCAGCAGGAACAGAATGAATATTGCACGTAGCGTTCTATCTTCAAGCTTGATGACATGCTAGAAAATGTAGTGTTTTGCCTTTGGCTTTGAATGAATATAGTCTTTACTGTGCATCAAAGACTGACGATGTCGGGCTTGTGGATTGTTGATTTTATAGAAACAATGACTATATGGCAGTACTATGACAGACAAGGACGGAAAACATACACATACGCCCATGATCATGATATTCATATATATAAATATTACAATTATCAGTCTATGTGGTGCATGCTCGTAGTCACGAGTAGTGGGCTCTTTTGCCTCATCATCATCTCCCCCGTTCGCATGGCTCCACAAGTCTGAAACTGTATGAAGATGGAGAAACAATGAAATGGGAAATTTTGCTCCTCGAAGCTGTGAGGCTGTAAATTATAGTAGAAGTCCTCGTGCCCCCCATGATCATGTCAACTTATGCAGCTTTTGTCTCACCCTCAGCTGGCGCGTCCGCCTCTTTTCCTCCCTCTGCAGCCGCTTCTGCTTCGGCAGCTGCCTTGGCCTCGGCCTCTTGTTAGACCTCAAGAAAATTCACACCTTCAATTTGTTTCTTCGGAATCCCAAGAAGGAAACAGAAGAACATGAGCGCTGGAAATGAATTACATCGATCAAACCATAATCTTGTCGTTCCTTCTCCAAACGCTGTGCCTCTTTCTTTGCTTGAAACTCTTTCTGAGCCGCTTTTTGTCGCTGCTTCGCCTGCATGCGGACAGCCGCTGCGTTTGCTTCTTCTCCCTTTCTTAGAAAAACAACTAAGTAATACTGCGGCGACTTACGTTGTAGTGCGAATTTTTTCTTGATGATGTTGAACAAGATACTAATATCTATTCAAGATAACTAAGTGAGTAGATATGCTAGAAGAAGTTGTAGTGGCGGCTCGAAGCGATATCGATCACAATGTTGACTAGTCTAGATGTAGAACCCTTAATAGTGAAGATTTCCACTCCTCGAATTCTTTTTGTTCTTGGTCTTCGTTAGCTTGTGTTTCTTCTCGAGCCTTCCTCAGTTCCTCCATTTCAGCCTCCCTCGCTTTCTTCTCGCGCTTTCGCCGATCTACTTCCGCCTTTGCGCGCCGCTGCCTCTGGATAGCCTGCATCTAACCTTAGAGCTCAAAACAATTCATTTCTTTAGTTAATTTCTTCAGCATCCCGAACAGGAAACAACCAAAGATGACTTTTAGAAATGAATCAAATGAATACAGAATTTTATATCAAGCCTTAATTAACGGCCGCGGCACTAGCGTCGTCTCCTAGAGTTTCGGCCCACTCTTCCAATTCCTTAGCCTCTTTGGCTGCTAGTTGCTCAGCCGCCTGGGCCTCAGCCAGTTCACGTCGCCGTCGATCAACCTAAGGATAGACGAGACAAAAAGATGAGCGTGAAAATAAATCTATGACGACGGAGTTCAGTTGATTTCATTGTCATCTTAAAATACAACGAACTCACTTAAGAACGATAGCACAAATTTTAGAACTAGATACCGTGGTGTGATCGATGTATGACCTACAACAAGAGTAGACTACTTACTTGAACATCAGCTGTATGAAGGTGGATGTTGTTGGTCGTCAGCAGAGTCTACAATACCTCTATCTTTGCAGCTCTTTGCCTGGCTTTCGCTTGCATTTTCAGAGCCGCCTTATCCGCGTCTGGACCTAGTCCTGCGGCAAACGCATGTCTTAGATTTCGAAAATGCATGTCGGGAAAAACAAATGGAAACCTTGACATAGGTTGTTAAAAATAAAGCACTAAGAATGCCGATGCCGCAACCTGCTGAAGCTGGATTCAAATGCCCCTTTCTCGCGGACTCACCCTAGCAGTACTTGAATGACGAAGGAATTTAGAACCAAGCAAAGCATCCGGACACGTAGTTATGGATTCATTTTTATGTCCTTTTCAGCGAGTCATGAGCATAACTCCAAGTCATCGCTTGTCTCGCCTGCTGCTTTTTCACCGGCGGCAGCGCTAACCTCAATAGACGCCAAGGCCTCGTCAGTCTCTGCGCCTACCTCTGTTGCAATTCGTTCGGCCTCTTTTTTAGAGCAGAAGGAAACAAATATATCAAAATTTTTCATGTGTCTCCATCTCATTTTGAGAGTACCCCACCGTGTAACAAACTGTATCCAGAATTGGTAAAAAGGTTAGCACTCCTCTTTCTGTGCAGCGAGTGTTCAACTTAATGTACCTAATCGAGTAATACCTATAGGAGGGTACCTCCGACTACGGTCTTCTTCTATACACAATACAATTCAGTGTATTCCATTCCTGTGTTACAACGAATCCTCAACTTCTAGTTCGCGTTTTCGTCTGGCAACTTCTTCATGGGCCTCCTCTGCTCGCTGCTCACTTTCGATTTTCATCTTTTCCGCGTCTTTCGATGAAGGTGATTTATCCCCTGAGCCACTCGTCTTGCCTGATTGTATATAAACCGGGTCGTCTTGCTATCAAGATAGCAATACTTTATTCATATGGTATTACAGGTACAACTGACTCCAGTACGTAGATTACATTAGTGAAGATCAACAATCAACATGAAAAACAGAAGGCAAAACAACTTATGGGTATACTATAGTACTTTCGTTTGCCGTCTGTGTTTCTGCAGTGGCAACAACATCCTGACTACTCTTTCGACCTCTGGCTTTTTTTCCCCGAAATAAAGCTTGCATTTTCGTTGCCGCCTCTTCTTCATCGCGGAACTGCCCATCTTCGTTGTCCACCTGACTTCAGATATGAAGAAGCGAAACAATCTTGATGTAAGTAGTTGTAAAAGAGCTACGTCGGGGCAGAGAACTACGTTCATCTTCCATAGAAGTCTAGCAATCAATTGTGTGTAGAAGACTACATTGAAAAGCTAACCAAGATCCTAACGGCAACATTACATTTATTCATCATATATGTGTGTATTGAAGTAGTGCGCGTCCCTGAGATGTCCTAAATCTTTCGTTGATATTTCTTATTGTGTTATCACTTCTTCATAAGGATCTTCACTCCCTGTGAAACCACGACGACAATTCGCTTTGATCCATTCTGCTTCTTCGGGTAGAACCCGGCGGATGCGTTCCATCTCGTATGAATAGAGACAGCTTTCCTTCGCTGCGAAGAATCCCTCCCCACAGTCATAGTAGCCTCCCTCCGGAATCATCGGCACTCCCGCGTTCGTTAACTGGTGTGGTTAATACAGCGTGTGAGACTTTCAAAGAATGGGAAACTTTCCTGCATCGATCTTCTATGGTAGAGTTGAAACAAGTCCGGATTCAGTTATAAAAAAAGACTCTTTGTAACATCGCAACCATGGGTGCTCCACCTTGTCCTTGCAAAACGTGAAAGATAAAAATCTTCGTAGTACTCTCGTTTTCCCCGCTGGCTGCAAACCGTCTTTCACTTCAATAAAGAAGCGCCTGTCTTTAGCACTCAAGTAGTCCCAGTGCTGATCAGAAAACTGGAGGCCGTCACTGAATATGTACCTGACCACGAGTGGAAAATGATCAGTGTATATTATACTTATAATGTTCTTGTCAAATAACCACCACTACTTCTAGAGAAAGAGCCGCTGAATCATCGCCCATGTGGTCGTTCGCCTCGAAGATTCAACATTCATCGAGTGCAAGAGCCTAGTTGAATTATTGTTGGTCACTCATGGTCGTAAATCCTTGAACTATCACAAAGATCCACCAAGATCAGAAGGATGAAGATCATCAAAATGACCAAGATCGCCAGGCGAACAAGGTACCCACCGGCACCACTTTCAACGCGTTGGCCTTAGTTGGCGCGGGTGTCGGCGGTTTCTCCTCTCTCTCTCGTATGTGGCTCAAGCCTCCCAAAACAGTCAAGGACAAAGCAACACAGGAAAGACCTCAAGATAACCTACAGACCTAAATGCATATAGTTCCAAAATCGAAGATCAACAGGCAAAGAACCTTCAACGCATTCAGACAGCAGAAATAATGAATGTTCATAGCTGTAATCAGGTTCGTAACGTTTTGTCAGTTCTGATCAGTTCACAGAGCATATGGGTGATCGTATGAATCAATGACGATAGCATAGGAGTTCCCATATGAAGCATATGAAAGCCTCCCCGTGCAACATGATATCCCAATGATGAAACTGAGACTTCCTCCCCTTGCAACCCCAATGAACATCCACAGGGATCAAAGCAGCCAGAGATCATTTGTCTCAGGCTGTTAGTGCAATCTGTATCAAACTCAAGCGTTTCTCAATGAGAAACTACACGCGACTTAACAGTCTGTGTTCGAATGTTCCAACACTGCTTTGACCCTTGAGTCTGGCTCAACATAGAGTAGAAATTCATGTAGAAACAAAATGTCCTGCGAAGAAACTCGACTTGCCTCAAAACTACCCGAATGTAGTTGGCATGGCGGCAGCTCCTCATGGTATTCCTAACGGAGTTACCACCCGGGAGGACGCAGCCAAAATGTCGCAAGGCAGAGCCGAGACGCGGAACCGGTGGAGAGTGGATTTTGCTCGCTGAATTTGGACGATGACGAGACTGAAGACGAAACAGCTGTGGATAATAGTGGGGGAGTAAAACTGATAGGACATAGTCCTTCAACTAGTTCCATTGCTGCAAGAAAAGAGGTTGTCTTGGTTGATAGTCGTGGAAACAAATATCTTTCAAAGCACAAAGATAGGCTAGTGATACAACTACGAGAACTTGTAAAATTACTGGTAGCGTTGGGAAAAGGACTTTGATCGTATTATACTTTGGCTAGGTGAAGGGAAACTGCTCGCAATTAGGATGGGAATTCAACTTCAAAGGCGCAGGTGGTTGTCTCGTACATACGGACACCAGCCAGGCCATACCCACAAGAAGCCATCCACGCCTGCAGCTTCCACACTTACACGCAAACTTACTCAAGGAAGAGACTGATAGTGGTTATATTTGTTCAACAGTAGAAGAAGGAGCCAGTAGATGTCATCTTACAAGACTCGAACGTCATAGAAGGTGTGGGCACTTTCATATAGATGGCCTCCAGGTAAATTGTCCTGAGTGCGATCTACAGAAAGACCAACGCGCACCATATGCAAACCAATAGAGATACTTCGAATTGCGAAGGCGTATCAGTTAGGTCAAAGAGATGTCTACTAGTGATTTCTGTAATGTAATTAAGAAGGTGTGCGTCGACCGCTTAAGCTGTAAAGTGACTGTGTGGAGGAAATAGAAGAAACGACGAAAGGCATTCGCCAGGACTACTCCTTATCTCTATATGGCAAGGTAGTATGGTTCCTCCTGAGGGATGGAGAACCTGTCCTGAGCAGTGACGACATGACCAAATAAGTTACGCAATCGCTGCGAGTCTCAGACAGTCCGGCTGTTCCTTATAATCTGGATTGAATGAGACCTGCGAGCGTTTTATGCGGACTTTGTTCGGCAGTGTTCGCGCAATGCCGACTAAAGTTGATAAACGTCTCTGGTGTTACTGCGTCGAGTACGATGGTGACTGCTGGGATTGTTTACCGCATAACTACGCGAAAATGCCTCAAAATGATGGAAGGAGTCCAGCTGAAACCTTGGAAGAAAGGACTGGTAGAAACTCGTCGAAGAGTTCACTTCAATCGGCATGCTCCGTCGATTTGGTTGTCTAGTTCACTTTCGTGAACAACTTCAAGCCAACCCTCCTGAACCCAAGCTCTAGGCCAAAGTACCACCGTGACGTCTTCCCTTGGATTCTGTCCGAAGTCGTCTGGTTGGTTGGTTGGAACTTTCGCTCATGACGATCGTTGCAAGCTTGGACATCGATGGGCGGAATACTCTACCCGAGATGTAAAGTTCAGAGAGGGATATGTAAGAAAGAATATTGATTGGCTTTTTGCCAGATCAAAGGGCATCTACATAGAGTCTGACGAACTGGGAAACCTGCTGGGTGGCGCGTCGTAGCTGGGCTCCCCCTTGCTTGGACAGTCAGAGCTAAGGCTGGATCATCAATCGGGGTTCTCTGGCACGGAGCACATTCCAGGTGGACCGACCGGAATTTCCGAAGAGATTACTGGATAAAGTAGAGGAATCCAACGCAGCTGACCCTCCTAAAAGTGTGTCACTTGAGGAGGGGAAAGTTGAAGCGAAGGATCGCGTGACATCTGCTCCGCTTAGTCCGTCTAGGTTGCAAGCGCCCTCTCCAGCACGTGTTGTGGCAGGCGAACGCCATACACACGGCGAGAAGCGTGGCCGACCAAAAGGAGCTAAGGACAAGGCAGGCAGCAGGGTACGAAGAACAAAGAAACAGTTAGAAGAATTGAGAAAGAATATGGCGCTGCTCGCTAGTGCAGTTGGTGGCATGTGTGAACTCGACGAAGATGAGGAACTCGTCGAGTCATGTGTGATTTTGTC